AGTCAGAACTCTCTGAAGCAAGATAGCACCATACTGTCAGAGAAAAGGGAATGTTGGTGCTGTATCTGCCAAGGAGTCAGAGGAAGTAACTGAATGTAGAGTGTAGGGAAGGGTGTCTTCTTCAGATGGCTTCCCAGATTTAGAACTTGGGTGCCTGGTACGTAGGTCAGAAGAGATCTTGGCAGATGGAAAATGGGTCTAAGTAAAATAGAGATTTCAGGAAATAAAACTAGGTAGTGTATAGTTTTCTTGAGAGATGGGTTAGGATGAAGGTAGGAAGATGTCTCGGGGACGCTGTGCTGTGATTGGTGATTTCTGAACTCCTATCCATCATGGCAGATAGGAGGCTGAAGCAGTGAAGTTGGTTACAGTGCAGCCATCTCTCAAGGCAGAGTTGCCAGGTGTGCCAAGCCTGCTTGGGGAATCTGAGGGGACCAGAAGACCAGACAAAGCCCTACCTAGGAACTAAGTTCTTGCATAGCGTTGGCTAGAACCTACTATTTGGAGTCCTCTCTCTCCTGCAGTGGTGGAACCAAACACAGTGGACACTGGGACCTGCAGCTCTGCCTTTGCTGGTTGGGAGGTACACACAAGAGGCATTGGCTCCAAACTCCTTGTCAAGATGGGCTATGAGTTTGGCAAGGGTGAGTGTGTGCTGCCCTGAGGTGGGAGGTTTACCTCAGCCTGTCCAAGTCTGGCAGAGGTGGCAGAAGGCCCTGTCTTTCCCAGGTTTGGGTCGGCATGCAGAAGGCCGGGTGGAGCCCATCCATGCTGTGGTGTTGCCTAGAGGGAAATCACTGGACCAGTGCACAGAGATACTGCAGAAGAAAACAAAGGGAAGCCAGGCTGGGACCAATAGGCCTCCAAGATGTCGGAGGAGCGGTGGTAGACCCGAGGGCCGCCCACCCCCTCGGAATGTGTTTGACTTTCTGAATGAAAAACTGCAAAGCCAGGCACCTGGGACCCCAGATGCTGGGGTGGACACTCCAGGGAAAAGGAACAAGGACATGTATCATGCCAGTAAAAGTGCCAAGCAGGCTCTGAGCCTGCAGCTCTTCCAGACTGAGGAGAAGATTGAGCGGACCCAACGGGACATCCGGGGCATCCAGGAGGCCCTAACCCGAAATGCTGGCCGGTATGTCTGGGGTCCAGCTGAGGTAGTATGGGCTCTGGTGGCTGTGCCCGCAGGATGCCCACTGAAGGTCACCTGACCTGAGTAGCCCGAGGCTGAGGTGGTCTGAGTATTAGAGGACAGGCATAGCCACAGCAAGTGGGGGCCTGGTGTGGGAGCCAAGAGACGGTGCTGACCAGCAGGCTCTCCCTAGGCATAGCACGACGGCAGCCCATCTGCAGGAGAAGCTGGAGGGAGCACAGCGGAAGCTGGGTCAGCTGCGTGCTCAAGAGGCTGGCCTACAGAGGGAACGGCGGAAGGCCGACACGCACAGGAAGATGACAGAGTTCTAGCAGCCCTGCCTGTATGGTGGACAGAGCCCTGGGACCCAACTGCATCTGCCTTGGCAGAAAGACAGCTGTGACCCTGACACCTGAAGAGCACCTGACGGAGGGGCCAGCCCACGCCCAGGCTGTGCCTCATTCAGCCTTGTCAGCCTAGAGTGTGTGGACACTCCTGAGTAGATGTGGGGTGAGCCCACCTACCAGTGTGTCTTGGGGTATCTCCTTAGTGAGGACATTAAAGTGATTTCATCATAATTTCTCTCACTGGAGACTCAGCTGGCTTCAGGATCTCTGGGGACAAATGGATCTGTGTAGGTCCTGGCAACCGACAGGCGGGCTGTGGGGGGTAGGGGGGTCCCAGATGAGGCCCCTGCCTCTGTTCAAGGTCCAAGAGTCCAAGAGAGATTTTTCCTCTTCTCTCTTCTCTGACCAAGTGAGTAAGGTCATGGAGTGGCCCTTCAGTGCCCAATACCCACAAACAGGTAGGGTGTGTGAGGTAGAAACCTTTGGGGAAGGGAACACTGTCTGTGATGAAAGCAGGCAGGCCTGACTAAAGCGGGCTCTGTCCACCTACATCGGGGCGGAGGGCACGGTGCTAGTTTTGTGATAGTTGCCTATCGATGGCAACAGCCAGGATGAGGTGTGAGGAGGTGAGCAGAGATCATGGGAGCAACTGCGCAAGAGCCGTGTGGCTGCTGGGAGGTGCTCAGAGACACAGGAAATGAGGTGGAGCTCCCCAGCAGCCCACAGAGATCTTCCTGGCTGTCCTAGACAGGGCCAAGCAGCAACCCCACGGTGGCCTTGGTAAGTGCCTGCCCCGTCCTCCCTCCTAGGCCAGTCCCCAGACCTCTCCATGCCCTGGGATCTGGGAGGGATGAACCCAGCCTGGATATGCCATTGAGACTTGGCTGTAGCCAGGTTAGTCAGTTTGGGCCCCCGTTGTGTAAGATGCCTACACTCCAAGCTTGAACAGACAGGCCCTCACCTCAGAAGGCTGTTCACCCTGAACTCTGGGTGAGCACCTAATCAGCTCTTCTAGGGGCAACTCCAGGAAAAGCTGGGATCCTGGGAAGGGGGGGATAGGGTGGGGATACTTGGCCTTCGTAGCAGCTCCTCCTGTTGAACGAGGCCCTTGCCCCCCCCCCCCAACTGCTTAGCTTCTGTAGTGAGTACTCTAGAAACACCACCTGACACAAGGGGTCACTCCTGGGCAGTGGTGGTCAGAGGTAAAGTCTGTGGTCTGTGGTTCAAAGTCAGAGTGATGTCAGAGATTTCCCCAGCGGATGGGTTTGAGTTACAGTGAGTACAGCCTTGTCCGGGTCATAGCTGCCCTGACCATGTTCCTCCATCTCTAATAACTAAGGGAGGAGACAGAGCTTCACTTTTTTTTTTTAAACCAGGAACCCTAGCCAGAGAAGGAAAGGTGGGTGCCCATGGAGCAGGGCAAAGATGCAAAGCCTGGGGGTTTCCGGTGTGCTGAGTCAACCAGGGAGGAAGAACCCACCAGCTGGGCAAGGGCTGCAGTGGAGCTGCAGGTGCTGGTCCCTCAGGCAGCCCCCAGAGCTCATCTCTCCTGTCCCCAGGTCTCCCTTCCCTGTTTACAGGATGAGGCCACCAGTGCCTTCAGCCCCGCTAGCCGTCTGGGTCCTGGGGTGCTTCTCCCTGCTCCTCTGGCTGTGGGCACTGTGCACAGCCTGCCACAGGTATGTGCCTGGGGCTGTGTCTGCCCTCTCCACGTTTGGCTCTGCACATGTGTCTATACTGGGCCTGGGCCAGGACCTTCCTCTACCCACTGGACTAACGGCACTCTTGCCCCTAGGAAGCGGGCTCAGAGGCAACAAACTGGGCTGCAGGGCAGTTTGATACCAGTGGAAATGGTGAGTGCCAGATTGTCCCTGGGGTCAGGGAAAGGACATCAGGGGATCAACCAGACTTCCTTACCCCTAGTCACTACTGAGACAGGCCCACGTCCGCTCCCTCAGCAAGTCTGACACCAGATTGCATGAGCTTCGCCCAGGCCTACGCTGCAGCATAGGTGAGCTCCTTGGGAGACCATAAATGTAGGGCTGGCCCACTGGGGCCAGTCCTGTTGCCTTAGCCTCTCAGTGACTTCTGCCTTGATCTTATCCCTAGCCCCGCGGCCTGCTAGCATGGATCTCCTACATCCACACTGGCTGGAGGTATCCAGGGGCAGCACCAGGTCTCAGGTAACCCCCTCTGCCTTCCCACCTCGGCAGCTGCCCAGGGCCCCTCCTGCTGCCCCTGCAACTAGCCCTGAGGCCACTTACTCCAATGTCGGACTGGCTGCAATTCCCAGGGCCAGCCTGGCTGCCAGCCCTGTGGTGTGGGCTGGAACACAGCTGACCATTAGCTGTGCCAAGCTTGGGCCTGGGGCCGAGTATGCCTGCATCCAGAAGCGCAAAGAGACAGAACAGGGCTACCACGAATTACAGGAGAAGGCTAAGGTGATCCCAGCTACTCAGGTAAAGTGAGCCTGGGTAGGGTAGGGTAGGGGCAGATGGGACTGAACCCACTCTTGGCAGAGGACCATGCCAAGCCCTCCCTGGGTTTGCTTCCTCTCTCCAGATGGATCTCCTGTACTCCAGGGTCTGCAAGCCTAAAAGGAGAGACCCAAGACCTGGCACAGATCAGCCGGATCCCCAGGGTGGGAGAGGAATTGTGGCCCTTGGGAGTGATGTGGAATATGAGGCCATCACTCTCAGGGCCCGGGATATGAACCAAGATCCCTTAGAAAACGTGTATGAAAGCATCAGGGAGATGGGCCCCTGAGCATCTGCGCCTCACATCCTGTTTATTAACACGCGTTGACACAGTAAGGGTACCAAGGTTTGATTGCAGATCCTCCTGTGTCCTTCCAGCCCCCACAGCTCACAGCACAAATGTCAGGTCCAGTCCTTGTGGCCTAATTAAATCTCTGTCATATAAGGTTAGCTCTCAGTTGCTTTTTTTTTTGTTTGTTTGTTTGTTTGTTTTGAAAGCTGGAATGGTTCTAGTGGGAGTTTTCCGAAGGGGTTATAGATGTCCCTTTGTGATCATTGGGAGAGTTTCCTTATACCTGGTTCCTGGCCCCTGAATCTGCGGGCAGGAAGAAAGGTTTCCCAGGCTGGAGAGTCTGGGACATCATGGCCAGTTGAAAGTATGGGATCTGTACCTCAGATCTTCCTGGAGCCTCTGTCACCATCCCTTGAGGTTACATAAGTAGGCAGAGGTAGACAGTACGGCATTAAAGAATAACCTATTCCCAAGAGGCCGACCAGGAAGGCGTAGCCCTTTCCCAGCGCTGACAGCTCAGTGCGCACCCCACTTCCCTGGGAAAAACAGCCCTTGGGCTGCAGGGTGCACAGGCTGTCAAGGCTGTCAGCCAGAGTTGAGCTGACCCCTCCACTAGCCTGAGTGCCTGAGTTGGAGCCCCTGCAAGGCAAAGCCCAACCACTTGGGGTGTTTGCCATGTGAGGGCCAATGGGCGTGCGCAGTGGGGCGGAGCTGGTAGGGAGATGTAGTCAAGCAGCTTCGGTGGCAGTGGCATGGCGCGGGTCGAGGTCGGATCCCGGGTGGAGGTCGACCGACCTGGCCCTGATTTGGGGCCCAATCAGGCTAAGTCTAGCCTTAATTCTGTAACATAGGCTTCTGGACGCCCAGGGAGGCTGAGTACGCCTGGGAACTGGGTCGGCGGGTCTGTGAAAGTCACCCGCCCCACTCCAAGGGTCAGGACCTAGCGTCCGTCCGTAGCCTCCCCAGATCCCAGTGGGCTGCAGATCACGACTCAGTGCCTGAGTGCAGAGGGTCTGAGTCAGAGTGCCACGCCACCGCAGGTACCGGTGGGCAGGGGGACTGCCAATTTTTTTCCCTGCTAAGACGGACATCGGGTCTATACAAACTTTGGGCCCTGAAGGCGTGGCAGCTGGAAGTGTTGCCTGTGAGTGTGTCCCTGCGTGTGCTCACCCCCACCCCGGGTCAGGCCAAGCAAAACTGACAGACCAAGCAAAGGCTTCCCGCCACGGGAGCAGGGGGCGGGGCTAGGGCGGGGCCACGCGGAACACACTAGCTGCATCTGGTGTGGTAGCGGGGCACTAAGCAGAGTTGAGGTAGAGTCTGGGGTCTCCAGGCCAACTCCTCCACGGAGCCCTCCCATCCCCATTTTCAGGGTCCTTCTATAGGTGGCGACCTTGCAGGCTTGGAGTTCTCAGAGCCACAGGAACCTTAGGCTATGAAGCCTCGGGAACCAATTCTTGAGCCTCAACACGGCTCCCACTGCCTTCTTTGCACATCCCGGTGCCAATAAATAAATAAATAAATATTTATTTATTTATTTATTTATTTATTATGTATACAATATTCAGTCTGTATGCCTGAAGGCCAGAAGAGGGCGCCAGACCTCTTTACAGATGGTTGTGAGCCACCATTTGATTGCTGGGAATTGAACTCAGGATCTTTGGAAGAGCAGGCAATGCTCTTAACCACTGAGCCATCTCTCCAGCCCCCCCCCCCCCGGTGCCAATAAAGAGGTGAGGTGGGACTGATGAGCGGTGGATGCTGGCACAGATGGCAGCCTTTGAAGACTTAGGTGGAGAACAAGTCAGGGTCCCCAGGTTCCACCTCCCCACTTGCCAGCTCTATACTCCTGACTATTCAGGGGCTGACTATTCAGCCCCCCAGGGCCTGGGGACCAGCCTGTGCTTAGAGCACAATCTCCCTAACTGCTGCCAAAGGCTTGCTGCTCCGCCCTCCTAGCCCACCCGACCCTCCCAAACGTAACCCTATCCCTGGCACTTGACCTACGGTTGCTATTGCACAACCATGGTTAATGTGTGTTAGCAGAAAGGTCTGAGCCATAGCTGGCCTCACCCCTTCTAGTGGGCCGGACCTCTGCTCAGCACCAGGGTCTGAAGGAGCCATTGCAGAACAAAGCCCAAGTTATGGAGAACTCGGGCCTTTCGTGGATCCCCATCCTGTTCTGTAGTTCCTGGATTTCCAGCTCTGCAACCTGAGCTGGGGGTGAAGCCAGGCCTCCTGCCCAGAATGTGGAGTGGCGCAGCCTGATGCCCACACGGGTCCAGGCTGCAAATGTGTGCGGGGACCTGGGGAGGGGCCTAGAGTACTTGTTGACCCCTTACCTCATCTCCAGAACCCCCCCCCCCAGGAAAAGCCCAGCTGGAAGAGGTCATGGCCGCTACAGCCCTTACAAGCCTGTCTACCAGCCCCTCTGTCACCTTCAGCAGCCCAGGTGAGATTCAGAAATCTATGCTCAACTATGGACAGGGTCCAGAACTTCTGCTATTCCGGGATACTGAAGCCACCAAGCCTCTATGGGGCAAGCAATGCCCCCAAACCTAATATGAACTTTCTAAGCTTGTCTCAAGTTCTCTAAGAGACACCTGGACCCTGAGTGCCCCTCACTGAGGCCAAAACTGCACCTCCACTTTGCTGGCCATGCAGCAAGCACTCCTGCCTTTCCTCAGCTAGAGGAGCTTCTCTCCAAGTCTCCGAGGCCAAATTCTCCTTGGCACCCCTGCTCCACAAGGCTCACCTGAACAGGTAGCAACTCAAAATCAGGGACTTGGAGAGAGCCAGCAGGAGCAATATCTGCAAAGTAGCTCGAGGTCTTCCGAGCTCCTAAGTGCAATGTCCCTGCAGACATGGAAGGAGGCCCTGGTTCATCTCTCAGGCAGCTACAGCAGCAACAGCGGAGGTGGGCTGGCCTGGGTGGTGACTGTTGACCTGGGCTCCCATCACTCCAGGGCTTTATTCAGGTCACGTTCCAGTGTCTGGGGCAGAGAGGTGGAAAGGTGCCGAGTACAGCATCTCCATCAGGGATGGAGAAACACATCCACCTGGTGCACCTGCAGTGCGGTGGCACTGGGGGTTTGGCTAGGGTGGGATCAGGCCTGACAACTCTGTTCCTGGCAGGAGACAGGCGGAGCCAGAGCAGAGTGAAGGGGAGGAGGACTATTACTACACAGAGTTGGATGTTGGCGTGGACATTCGGGCTGACTCAGGGTCTCCTGCAGTCTCCACCCCACTCACCTTTGCTCATATGGAGCTCTTCCCAACCTGCCACAGCCCCTGTGTTTCCATTCCCCAAGCTCAGCTCTTCAGCTGTTCCACAGGTATGCCAGTGACCAAGCCTACCAGCAAGGTGAGGCCACAGATGGACATTGGCGGCAGGTCTCAGAGCGCTCTAGAGAGATACAACAGGGGTTGTGGCTCCTTTCAGAGCTGGTGGGCCCCCATCCACCTGGAGCCACAGCCCACTGAGGCCCAGGCCTACATACCAGCCCTGCCTGCCGAGCTTGGGGACAACCCGAGGTACGTGTTGTTTGAGGGTCTGGGATATACTAGGCGGTAAAGGTCTTAGCTGACAAGTCTCCATGCCCCCTGCATGGCCCCTCCAGGAAGCCCTGGGGTGATGCCAAGGAGTGCCAGAAAGTGTACTGCAGGGACCACAGGAACCTGTGGTGCACAGCCTGCCAGCGGTTCCTGGACTGAGCCTATCCATGACGCAGCTCCTTGGCCTTTCTCCCACTCCAGCCTGAAGCTACAGCAAACCTGTGGTGGATTTGATGGCCTTGGCTCCTAGAGGTGGAGGACTGACGAGTACTCAGAGTACCCTGGAAGAAACCAGTGTTTCTTCACTAAACCCTAACTGCACGCTGTCCTTTTGGCCCCAGGGGCAGCTTGGCTCCCTGCTTTGGCTCACAGACTCGTCAAAGATGTCAGTGGGCTCTGCTAGAGCTGTTTAAGTTGCCCTCTGGGAGGTGTCAGAGGGAGGACTCTCCTGCCCACATTTAAAGATAGTTTTCCTGGCCAGACTGGGGCTGACATTTTTCCATGTTCATGAAGCTCAGGTGTCTTGTGTCTGGGCCATACCACAGAAAAATTAAAAACTGTGGGGGTTGTTTGTTTATCTCCTGGGGAGAGAAGTGGAACTAGGAGGAAAATGGGAAGTGAATAAGAAGCATAGGGGCTGGGGGCTGGCTCCATTCAGGTTGGGGTCCAAGGAAGGGTACTATTTGAAACCACACAGGAGGCGTCGGCATTGAGCAGCAATTTCCCATTTTATTTAAAGTGATCGCTTTGCAAGAATGTCTACACTAATCCCATCACAGAAAGAAAACCCACAGGCAACCTGGTACACCGAGGCAGACAAGGAATCGCAAGAACCGCTAGAGAGAAGGTAATCTTTACTTGTCTGTGGGTGTTGTGAACCCCACCAACTGATTATGACAAGCCTTCTGCAAATATTAAACACATCTTCAGTACAAACACAGGTTTATAATAATTAATATAAAGTCAATATAATATAGATTATCCCCAGAAAAAAATCAACAATCTTCAAACACTGCATTTTTTTTACTTTTTGTTGACAGATTGAAAGCATGTTAAAAAATAAATAAATAAGAAAAGCATACACACAGCACCCTCACTACAAGTGATTCTAAAAGAGCCACATACAAAACACAATAGAATCTAAAAAATAATACCACCATTATGGCTTTCTTAGGAGTTGTACATGTCATAGGATGAGCCAAAGTAAGATTATCTTTCATAATATTGCAAAAAGTTCCAGTTTTGCATTTCCTCAGGTTTTTTTTAAAGGAAAATGTGAAAAATTGGAAACATAACTGTGTCTTTTGAGTTAGGGCCCTGTCAAGTCCTAGGAGTGTCCTGTTCCCCAAAACTCAGAGTTCAAATACGCAAACTGGTCAGGATCCAGAGATCCGTACAAAAATCATATCGTTTTCCCACCTCAACCCTAACACCACCCACCCCATGGAATATATTTTCCACTCTGGTGTTACAAACACCCAAATACAGACACACACAAAATACAAAATGTGAAATGTAATCTACACATTTTCTTCATAAAAAAATATTTATTAGTTTGAACATTGAATAAAAAAAAAGTCACATAAAAAAACCCAAAAAACAAAAAACTTCAATACATACGTCTTTTCCCTCCATGCCTCCTGAGATGGATGTGTTCATCTGGATCTCTAGAATTCCACTTTCCAACTGGAAACTGAGCCAGAACAAAGCCTGCCACATGGCAAACACTTGGAAGGTGGTGGGACCAGAACTGGGACCCTCAGTTTTCTGGTACAGTACTGGTTTTAAGGAAGTGCCCCGTGGTACCAACAGGGAACCCCAGAAAGGCCAGCAAAGGCAAGTCTGGAAGGGAGGCCAGTCAGAGCAAGACATCCTGAGAGTGGAGGCACAGGTGCCTTGGGAGGTGGGCCGGGGTCCTGGGTCCTGGGCAGGGCAGCCTGAGAAGTAGGGACTGATACAAAAACCCAGAGACAGTGGTAGCAAAGGTCTAGTTTCCAAATGCATTTTATAAGAAAGTGTTTAGAAAAGGCATTGTAAAAGAGGGAGGAAGTTCTAAGTCTGGGAGCCCTCAGGGGGCCTGGCAAGACTAGACGGTCTCAACCTGGAGTTTTGTTGGTGAAAGGGGGTCTAGCTACGCTGCCACACTGGACGAAATGTACTCCAGAACCAGCATGCCTCAGAGGGAGAGGGCAGAGAGTGGAGAGGACACAGCTTTCAGACAATGGCTCCTACACTCTACTTGTAGAGTCCTGGCCCCTTTCCTCTTGACTGTTGTTTTGTTTGAAACAAAAGCTGTGATTCCTTCCTTCTGTAGGGCCTGCCCTGCATCCTTCTGTAGCTCAGGCAGCTGGTACTTGGGGAATGTCACCAGGTGACATATGCTCTTTATAACCACTGGGACGTAAATTAATTTTATGGGGCTTCCTCTTACTTACCTAGTGAGAACAGAAGGCGGGGGGAGTTTAAAAGCCATTTGACTTAGTGTTTGAGAAAGGAAAACCAAAATTCTCTAATTAGCCGTAATGATTTAGCCTGATGAGCCCTTGCACAGGGTGGGGTTAGCCCATCAGCAGCTCACCAGGGGATGCACTGAACACCAGTTCAGTGGGCTTTGGGAGATGAGGTGGGTGAGGGATGGAATGTTTCAGGGTTTGTTAGAAATGGCCTCAAGAAGAGTGCAGGCTGCAGCATCTGTATCTATCCGGCAGGTTACGTGGACAGGTCTCCGGGCCTCAGAGCCATAGAAATTAAGCCCACACTTTTCACAGAGCAAGTGTGAGCACCTTTAGAAATAACAGGAAGAGGACTTGAAGAGTTAAATGAAATCACTTGCGCAGAGTCCTGTTAAGTGAAAAAAAAAAACAATTTGAAACAAAGTAACCTGTAGTAACCACCTGAAAATGTCTCTGACTTCTTTAAAATTTGGTTCCTAGGCAGGGAGGCGTCAGCAGCACACTGCGGCTAGGAACACCCACCTCCAGTGTTAGCAGCAACAAAGGCAGGAGCTTGAGCTCTGTCTGGTCCAAGGAGGGGTGAGCAAGGGCGCAGGCAGAACTCAGGGTGCACAACGGGGCTCTCCAAGAAAGTGCACACGGAAGGAAGAGCTGTGACCCTTGCAACTCAACCATGTGGGCCTGAACGGGGAAAGCATCCAACCACAGGTCCCTTCTTGAACAGAGCCTTCTTCCCCTTTGGCCTGCCGGTTGGGTAGCTGCTTCCAACAGAGATAGCACCTGGAGCCTTGGGCTTCCAGAGAGGCATCTGCAGCCATTTATGTTAAGCACCAAAGCCTGGAGGTAAGAGGATTGCAGGGCTTATGCCCACTAGATTCTACCAGCTGCCACGGGGCAGCAGGAACCAAGAGGACAAAGTGACAGGGCCATTGCCCATAACCTGACTGCCAGAGGACGGGGTGGAAGGAGACTGAGCAATGCTGTGGGTGGAACAGAACTCAACACCTACTCAGACCTGGTTACTGACGCATCTTGCATTCCTAGCCAGGTTCACAGCAAAGGACTCCTTTGATACCCTGAGGAAGCATGCCCAGGCCTTGGTGCAGCCCTGCTCACACATATAGACACACCCGCTGGGGACTCCATTAATAATACCTGGGCAGGTGGGAGTAGGCCTCCCTTTTCCTAAACCTACACTGTACCCCTCACTTCGTTCGGTCCTAGTGCGCCCCCCGTCTCTGGAGTCACACTCACTGCTTAGTTCACAGGACCAGTTTCTGCAAGGGGAGAGGGTTATAGGCCAGAGGAGGGCCCGAAGGAAGAGCTTCAAGGAGTCAGCATGGCCCTGCTCCTGGGTGAGTGAAGACCCACTAAGACACACACAGGTGCACACCACCCACCCTGCCCACCAGAGCAAAGCCCCTAGGAGATCCAGGCAAAGTCCTTCTCAGGCTCCCCAGAGGGGCTGTGCGGCCCCCGTGGAGAGTCCTCGTCATCCTTGTCATCTCCCAGCAGCGCGTCCTCGTGTGCCAAGCCCACGTCGTCCTTCCATTTGGCCACGTCCTCATCCTCATCCTCACCCAGCTCCTCCTCGCCTTCCCCTCGTGGATCGTCGGGGTCTTCCAGGTAGGGCCCTTCACCAGCAAACAGGGCCTCCGGAGAGCCCTCACCACCTCCACCATGGTCCAGCGGCGTGGCCACACCCCGGCCAGCACAGTCTGCACATACACCATGACGACGAGAACCATGCTTAATGCCCACGCTGGCTGCAGACATGAACACACGGCTGCACACCTTGCACACGTACTTCTTGTCCTTGCTGTGGACCTGGAGGGACAGAACAATCAGTGGAGCGGTGTTGGAGTGAGGAGCGCAATCTTTACTAGGCCATGAGAGACACAGGAGGGACAGTCCCTGTCAGGGAAAGGAGGGGACATCCATCTGGAGCCAACGTGGGCAGTATCACTAGAGACAGCAAATCATCCTGACTTAAGGGGATGCCATAGGCACCAGGGTAAACAATGTCATGCACTCAGCTACAAACTGGGCTAGTCCCAGCATATCCATATCCAAGTTCTCCCACTCAATGGTATGTAGGTACACTTCTAACTTGTCATACTCCTTCCTCTGCCTGAAGAACCCTTCCTATAAACTTCCCTGCAGGGCAGGATAAGAGGCTCCTATCAGATCCCTAGAGCAGCTCTGGAGCCCAGCTGCTATTAGTTCTGTACAGGCAGAGCAGCTGGCCCAGCAGCCCGGGTGATACGGAATTAAATACAACACTGCTCACCTGAATGCACAGGACAGGGAGCCCATACACAACCGTGATTGGAAGCTGCAAGTGGAATCTGCCTTCCAGGAAGCCCAGGACAGACTGGTGGGTTGGGCTGCATGGGAGCCCCAAGTGAGAGCGAGAGGGGTCAGCATGGATGGGACGCAGACTGGAACCTGGCAGCAGGGCAATGAAGTGGAACCCTAGCCTGGCTGCTATGCACCTGTTTCCAATTAAAAGGGGCAGCTCCTTCTGTCCTGCTCTCTCAACTGGAAGGCAAGGACCGAGGTTAGCAATCAGGGTCTGCAGAAGAGACATGGCAGCCAGGGAGAGGCAGCAGTGCCTGGAAGACACCTACTCAGTAGAAGGTCCTTGAAAGTACAGAAGACAAAAGCTCCTGGAGGGGACCCAAGAGACCTGAGCTTGAGGAAGTGTGCATAGGAACCAATGTACTCTATCTACAAAGTTGGCCAGTGCAGAATTGCCTTCCTGGAGATGGGCAAGGACAAGGTAAATGGGACTTGTGGAGTACCCGTGGCCTTCTCAGCCTGCCAGAGCCACTGCGCCTCCTTACATCTAGGGTCTGACTCTAAGCTTCAAAACTGGAGGATGAGGAACCCAGAGGACACCATAGCTATCCCTGGCCAGGCAGCCCCAGGCCATACACAGATGGCCTGTTCTCGGTTCAGCAGTCTAGGGTAGGAAGCTGGCCCAGATCCCAGGCTCCCGACTCCTTCCTTCCTGTGCTGCCACCAGGACCTGCCAGAGAACAGGCTACATGGGCAGGGGGTGACTCACCTTTCTTAATCTGCCAGTTCCCCGACTACTGTCCACAAGATGTCACTGTGGTTCTATGTCTGGGCTTTGTGGCTCTGCTGCTAAGCCCCTTTCTGAATCTGCCAGTTCCCTGACTATAAACGTCCACAAGATGTCCCTGTGGTTCTGTGTCTGAGCTTTGTGGCTCTGCTGCTAAGCCCCTTGATGTTGTTATGGGGCAGTACAAACCACTCCTTCCTGATCCCTGGGAAAGTGCAGCAGGACGGCTCTCAGCACCATCTCCACCTATGAGGTTCCTGGAGGGGCTTTGCATGCCAAAAAAAAAGTCAGGGCAGTAGATACTGCTGTGGTGAACATGGTGGTTTGGGCTTCAGAGCTGTCTCTAATGCAGAGGGCTCCACTTTTTCAAAGACTGCACCCCAAGGAAACTAAAGGATTAAACTATATGGACCCTTCCCTCATGCAAGCCCTGACATAGGGGGCATCAACATCAACTGAGCCTGGCACACAGAATGGCGTAGAAGTTATCCTCCTCCTGCCTCCTCCTCCAAAATGGGGGATTACAGACACGTGCTACCACACTAAGCTTCCACATTTTAAGTACATTTTTAGAAAGTTATGATGAAGAGCAGGCACAGTGACCCAACCTCAAACAAAGTGAGTGTGGTTTGCTCAAGAAAAGGCAGCAATGCACACTGTTAAGGCTTTTCAGCACCTATGAGCTTAAAAAAAAAAAAGAGAGACAGTTCTCTTTGAATAGGAAAAGCTGGGTGGAGGCACCAGCATCCCACTTAAATTTTTCTGTAAGTTTGTAAAGCAATATTTGTGGATGCAACAAAAACAAACACAAAACTAGTGAAAAGTATTTTCTTTCTTTTTCTTTTTCCTTTTTTTTTTTTTTTGAGACAAGATCACGTGAATCCACTAATCCACTATGTAACTAAGGATGGCCTTGATTTTGGTACCTATCCTGGAACTCACTTTGTAGACCAGGCTGGCTCGCCTCCTGAGTGTTGGGAACTAAAGACAAGTCCCAGCACCACCCGGCCTGCCTTGAATATTTTTTTAATTTATTGTATTTATGTGTGTGCGTGCACACCAGCACCATTCTTGTCCACACAGAGGAAAGCCCATGGGAGTCTGTTCTCTCCTTCCAACCGTGTGCATCCTGGGGATTAAACCCAAGTTGTCAGACTTGGTGGCAGGCATCCACTGAGACAACTGAATGTCTTCACCCTGAACTTCTGATACTCTCCCTCCTCTCCCCAAGTGCTGGGATCACAGGAATACACCATCATATGGTACTAGGGATTGCATCCAGGGCGTCACGCACACGAGGCAAGTACTCTACTGACTAAGCCTCAGTAGCAAAAAGATCTAAATCCAGCTCTAAGACCTCAAGCACACAGAGGCTAGGACCCGAGACTAGGGCAGGGCTGGGTTCTGCTCACAGCCAAGTCAGGTAGATCCTCAGTCACTAACTTTGGACAAGCGCCTGCAGGGACATCTACCAGGCCTGCGATCAGTCAATGAACTAAGGAGTGGCCCAGCTGGCAGTGAGTTCTCACATGGAAGATGACCTGAGATCCCCTAACTCCATTCTCCTCTAAATGTGCCCCTCCCCAAGCCCTGGTTCATTTTTAGGGCTCCAATTCCTTGAGTTCAGCCAGCCATGAACTGCCTATACCTGCTTGACTTTGACTTTGCTGGTGTATCTTGCCTGAATCAATCTACCTGTTTCTGAACAACTTCTTCTGTCATCTCTTGGCCAAACAAATTCATCCTTCAAACCCTCCACTTGAAAATGGCATGCTAGGTACTGAGAGCCAGGCACAGGAGCAGGGATATAAACGGGCAGATCAAAGTGCAGATGGCGGTATACACTCTGCAGCAGCTGAGAAGGCCAGCAAGTGGACAGCATGCGATGTGCTACCTGACCCTGTACTCAGACAGGCCTGGAGTCCCCGCAGAGAAGCACAGTGATGTCACAAGAGGCAGTTCTCCCTCTTCTGTTCTACGCTCGCCCCTGAAAGGCACATAGGGCTGGGGGGTGTCCTGGGTACCCTACACCCTCCTCCTGAGCTGCCTGTCAGGACATCTCAAGCCAATGCATCAAGTGCCCCTGCCCCCATGCCCCACTAGCACCCTGCACTCACCAGAGTGTGTCGCTTCATGTGTTCTCGCCTAGTGAACTTCTTGCCACAGATCTCACAAGGGTAAGGTCGCTCTCCAGTGTGTGAGCGCATGTGTCGCTTAAGGATGCACTGGTGCATGGCCGAGAAGCTGCAGTAGGGGCACTTGAACTTCTTCCTAATCACTGTGAACTCGTTCACTGAAAGACAGTGGCAGAGACATTAGCATCTGACCCCACCTTCAAACAGATGGTCTACCCACTCATCAGAGCACAAGGAGATGGGTATACACCTCGCAGGGGCCTCCCACAAAACAATCTTCCAGGCCTCGGCTAAGAAGAGACCAAGAGCTTCGCTGAGCCAACAGCGAACAAGCAACCCTGCGTGACTGTCTACACCCTATTCAGAGTTTCCCTGGACACCAAAGCATGCCATTGAGCAAGGGTATATCAGACGCAACCCTGGAGAGGAAGATAAGAAAAACAAGCATTCCTGTGTGGCACAGGCCAAGAAGTTAGAAAAAATAACCAAATGCTTTACTATAGTTCTGGCCTGACATGGGGGGGGCGGGGGCAAGGACACATCGTTGCCATCTCTACTAAGTGGATACAATCAGGCTCAAAACCCAGGGAATCCCTCGGGTGTCTCCAACACTAGTCTGCTCCTGAGCCCCAGCCACAATGTGGGGCCTTGAATTTAACAGCAAGGAGTATGATGTGCTTCAGGCAGGTGAACACTGGGTAGGTACTCTGTGCTAAAAAACAGAGTACTTGCTAGTCCTGGAGAGGCCCTGAGCTTACACCTAGTCTCTGTAAGCCAGACTGTGGTCTTCAGAGCCACTGCACACATCCCCAGTTTCTGTGTTCCTAAAAAGGACAGTGAGAACATCATCCCCAGGGCTTTCTCTTCCTTAAGATTTTAGCCAGGCCATGGTGATGAAGCCTTTAATCCCAGCACTCCGGGAGGCAGAGGTAAGTGAATCTGAGTTCAAGGCCAGTCTGGTCTATGAAACCAGTTCCAGGACAGGACAGGCAACATAGAGAAATGCTGTCTTGAAAAACAAAAACAAGCAAAAGATTTAAAAAATATTTAAGCTCTTTGAGTGTGTGTGTGTGTGTAGCAAGCTGGTCTACAGGTAGGAGCTGGGGATAAGAGTGGGGAGGGAGAGTCATCACAGCCTAGAGAATGAAACAGACACTGTGGTCACTAATCTGGTTTCTTTTCCTTGTATGAACACTCTGTGTACACTGGACAGAATCTCATACGTAACATATTGTGACCTCATTTTAAAGCCATGGTTTTTAACCACATATCTTTCTTTATTTTTATTTATTTATTTTTTGTGGGTTTTTTTTCAAGACAGGATTTCTCTGTAGCTTTGGAGCCTGTCCTGGAACTAGCTCTTGTAGACCAGGCTGGCCGCAAACTCACAGAGATCCGCCTGTCTCTGCCTCCCGAGTGCTGGGATTAAAGGCGTGCGCCAGTGCCCAGTGCCAGGGGAGTGTGTCAGACAGGCCTTCCTGGAAGCGGGTCCCAGGAGACCTGAGCATGTGGCAGTGGTGGCCGTGGGATGCCAGGGTGTCTGTGTGTACTAGATAGGCACAGAGGCAAAGCAGCTGGCGTCTGGCTGCATAATGAGGACCAGCAGGGTACTCGTGCCAACCGACAAAGGGGACAGACATGCCTGGCCACGACCCACACCACTCCTGAAGCTTCCAAAAGGGAAAACATGAGCTACTTTTTGTCTTTTCCTTCTAGGTCTTGGCTTGGCTCACACTCCAGGTCACAGAACACTCTTCAGGCTAGTCTCGTACTTCCACAATGGCCCTTCTCACTCCCATGGCTCCTCTTACCACACCTAAAATAAATGGACTACTCAAAGACAAAAAGGGGAAACAAGGAACCAAGTTTCTACAATGTTTTCTTTAAAGATATCTTGGGGGTGTATCCGTTATTTTTATCCTCTTATAGGCACGAAAATCAAATTTGGAATGGTGGGGCTGCTGAGATGGCCCAACAGTTAAGAGGGCACACCAGCCTTGCAGAGAACCTATGTGCACAGCCACCTGTAACTCCAGCTCCACGTGGCCCAATACCCTCTTCTGGCCTCCAAGGTATCACCCCACACATATTTTTTTTTTTTTTGGTTTTTCGAGACAGGGTTTTGCTGTGGCTTTGGAGCCTGTCCTGGAACTAGCTCTGTAGACCAGGCTGGTCTCAAACTCACAGAGATCTGCCTGCCTCTGCCTCCCGAGTGCTGGGATTAAAGGGGTGCGCCACCATCGCCCGGCCCACACATACATTTATAAAAACAAAGTAGTGACTTTTTTAAATTATAGGGACTGGAGAAAGGACTCAGTGGTTAGGAACACTTGCTGCTCCTTTTGAGAATCCAAGTGGTTTACAACTGTCTATAATTCCAGTTCCAGAAATCTGATGCCTTCTTTTGACCTCTGTAAGCACCAGGTATGTGTGTCGTGCAGATAGAGATGCAAGCAAACATTCATATGCATAAAAAGTTTTTAACTGTTTTAATTGCATATTTGAGTACATAGTTCAGGCATACATGTTAAATTAGGACTTATAAATAGAAAGCTTTTTAATTTTGTTTCTCGAAGACAGGGTTTCACTATATAGCTCTGGTGGTTCTGTAACTCACTACGTAGACCAAGCTTGCCTCAAACTCACAGGGATCCATCTGCTTCCACATAATGGGATTAAAGGCATGCACCACCTCACCTAGCTACGGAAATATTTCTTTCCTTAGAAAAACAACTTAGACTGGACAAGCACCATGACCCCGTCATTGTGACAGGCTTTGCCCAGAGTGGCAGATAGATGCTTTGCTTAAACCTTGGACTTTCAAGCCAGGCAATGGTGGCACATGCCTTTAATCCCAGCAATCAGAAGGCAGAGGCAGGTGGATCTCTGAGTTCAAAGCCAGGCTGGTCTACAGAACAAGTTCCAGGGCAACCAGAGCTACTCAGAGAGACCCTGTCTTGAAAAAACAAGAGAGGGGGGGGGGAGGGTCAAGTCAACTACAAAGTCAGGACACGAGATGACATCAACAACAGGAGGAATTTGGCAATGTTAGCCTTACATCTAGAGGCTATAACGCTTATATACACAGGGAACATCTTACAAAACTGCCTATAATTGATAAACAACTGCTTTTCTTTTTGTAACGTAGTTTTGTCTCATACTTTTACTGCGCCAAGCCACAAGATGCTACCCTCAGACAGCGACAGTACCCCTCTGGCTGTAGAACCCCTAAGTGGTCTCTCAAGAACCTCTTCCTTACTGCCAAAGATGCAGAGAACCACCAGCGACCGGGACAGAGACAGGATAAGCAGGTTTGCTGTACACAGATACTGAAGATGACGTCAATGGGCACTTTCAGGATCATCAGCCATGAACAGTCCTGTGTGTGGTTCCTCATCGAGTGACAATTTCCAAACTACTTTATTTGTGAAGTACCTCATTAATGGAACAAAACGGTTATGCTTCATTTTTCCATTTATAAATGTACTAGGATTGTCACTTTTTGTATTAAAATAACAAAAATTGTTTTCAGAATTTTTAAACATTTGTTACTACATTTAGTTATTTATTGGGGGCATGCCTGGGACAGGTAGATGACAACTAGATACAGGAGTTGGTTCTTGCCTTCCACTGTGTGGGCTCAAGGGATCAAGCTTGGTGGTAAGTGTCTTCACTTGCTGAGTCATCTTGTCTGGAACCCAGACAATTTTAATCTTATGGGAAGCCTCCATAACTTAAGAATCATCTGCAGCCTACTCAGAGCATCTCCGCAAGCCAAGCGAGTCAGCCCCAGAGGCAGTGAAGTGAATGGCTGCTCTGCTCCTGCTTGTGTCTGTCGAGTTATTCGCTCATGATTGGCTCAACATCAGCCTGGGGAAGTACGGCTGGTTCTTGTTTGTTGCAGCACAGTGTTCCTTTGTGTGACCTGGTCACAGCAAGCCCCTTTCTGCAGACGCATCTGGCTTAGGAAGCAGTGGTGCTGACATGAGGCCTGCGTGTGCCTTGGTGGTCAGGAACCAAAGGAAGGAAACAGACCACACACTAAAGGCTAAGCACCTTTTCCAAAGTTTACAACCCAACTTAAGTTACTTTCGGTGCACGGCGAGGAGGACACAGAATTTTTCTTCTGGGTGGATTTCCAGTTCTCTCAGGACCATGTGTCAGGCACAGCGCAGCCACTCATCCATGTGCACCAGTCTCTGCTGCAGCAATTCTGCACAGCTGGTACACTGCCAGCCTGCACCAAGTTCTCCTCACTTCCCACCAACCATGGCCTCTATTTTCTGTATTCGAAGCTTTGATTCGGGGAACCCTGGAGAGATGGTCATTCTGGGTATGCCTATAAAGGAACATCTGGATTGGGCTGAGATAGGAAGATGCACCCTGAGTGTCTGCAGCATCATTCCATGGGCTGGGGTTCTAGACTGCAAAAAAGCAACAGTTCAGCTGAGCACCAGTACCCATCACTCCTTGCCTCCTGACAGCTGGTACAATGGTTGGCTGCACCATGCCTTCTTCTCCGTGGTGGGCTAAAATAGGCCCTTCCTTCCTCAGTCTGCTCATCAGGCATTAATCACTGCCATGAGAAAAGCAATGTCCAGAGCAGCCAGGGTTTCACTCCTACCCAGACTCTACAAGACGTCCATGCCCAGGACTACTGCTGCCTGCCCTAGATCCCCGGATCCTATACTCCCTTCCCTACCTGGGTCTTCCCATGGAAACCACAACAAGGTTCTTGCTTCCATTTCCTTCCCTCCCTCTGCCTCCCAAGTGCCTGGTACTTCCCTGTGTGATTCTGCATGGTGAGACATGCCTCCTATTTCTAGGGGTCAGAGAGTATAATAAACTACTTACTCCTTTAGGGTGGCCATGTCTATGGCTCTATGACTCACCATTACTGACTAAAGCTCAAACGCGGGCCCATGTTGTGCAGCAAGTACTCTTACCTACTGAGCCAGCTCTATGTTCATTTTCTGTGCCCTGTTTCATGATACCTTTACTTCCCTGGGACTACTTTCTTTAAATTCTGTTACCTCCCTGTAAGGGTAATTAGCTATAAACAATTTTGAGTGTGGTCTACTGGTTTGATAGGATGTACTTTTAGTATCTATTCACCTGCAATTCTGATAATATTGACACAGAGGCAAGGACATCCTGA